TCTGCCCAGGCCCTCGGCGGGCGGGAGGAGGACCCGCACGGGGAACAGAAAGGCTGGGTCTCCGAGATCCTGTTATTTTCTCCAGTCCCAAGTTGAGCCGTGAGGAAGGGAACAGCAGGCTCCAGGTATGAGCCTGGGGGACAGGTTTTGTTTTGCTTTTGTCTCTCTGCCAAAAGCACAGAGAGAGAATAAAGGCTCCCACTGTCTGCTAAAGCAGGGTGTTTCAGCCTGGGCTCTGTGGACATTTAGGGCTGGGTGCTTCTTCACTGTGGGGGCTGTCCTGCCCGACACAGGGTATGCAGCGGAAGCCCTGGCCTCTGCCTGCTAGATAGCAACAGCCCTCCCCTCCCCTGGTGTGACAACCAACAGCTTCTCCCAGACATTGCAAAATGACCCCCATGGGCAGGGACATTGCTCAGTTGACACAGTGTAGAAATTGCAGTTGAAGGCCTGTGGGGGAATTTGGTAGTGACTGGGAGGAAGGTTCTTGTTAAGTATTGACAAAGGAAGGCAAGTAAGAATCCTTGTGTAGGTGAAGACAGTTGTGGAGATGGGGACAAAGCAGCAAGTAGAACCCTAACTGTAGTTGTAGTGACCGAGACCCGGAGCCAGGGCGGTCTGGAAGGAGAGACCTCCTTGGCTGCAGGAAGGCTCTGAGTTGAGGGAGTGGCCTCAGGTGGCCAGGGAGCAGCCGTGGATGCTTCAAGAAGAGGGACCCTGTTCCTCAAACCCGGACTGGGGCTGGGAGAAAGAAGAGGCGTGTCAAAGGGTTTGGAGGGGACCTGAATGCCACTTTTGAAGGGCTAAAATGTCACCTTTGGCTTGGACTGTGGAGAACAGCCAAGGAGAAGCAGCGATGCCTGACGGGGTGGGACTGCTGGAGAGTGAGTTCATAGAAGGAGAAGGAGACCGACTTGGCTTTGAGATCTCTGAGATTTGTTTAACACTATAATTAATGTTTCTTTAGTCATGGGCATTAAATTAGGCCTTTAAAAGTCATTTTTACCTACCTCACTCTCCCTCCTTACATGAAAGAGGGGAGGGGAGTTAAGCGAGGATGAGAGGGAGTAATTTTCAAAGCCTCAGAGATTAGTCCTGACTTCACAATTTAAATCACATAATTCTACTGTGTATGTTCGGAAGGGACCATCATTTTTCTCATCTGTGCTTTTCTACAATGTCTCATGCGGAAAGATCACCGGTTACGTCTACAGTGACAAGAGGCACAAGGCTTTGGCAAACAATATGTAATGCAACGCCTTTTTTTTTTCACAATTCAGAAATACTTTCCAGAGCTGGTTTGCATAATTCACCAGGTTTTCCAGGTTTAGGGAAGCAAATGACTTTCTTTTTATAGAGAATCATAAATTTTAAAGCAGAAAGTGATGTTAGAGATTATCTGGTCCATCAAATATCAATCTCAATAAAAACTAGAGACTATTAGAATGTGGTATTAAGCAATTCGAGTCTTAAAAATGCATTTGGCTCAATACAAGAATGTTAAATGGTGCCCACATTTCAAAGTTAAAAAAAGCTTCGTGAGCTCTCTAGCCCCCCTTCTGACGTGTGAAACTACAATTTTACCACTGCTTATTCCATCGTTCAGGAGATGTGCTGTTAATCCAGCATCTTGGAGTGTCTCAGTGGAAATAAACCAATTGCCACTTGGAAGAATTGTTGAAAGTGTTTAGAGAACTATCCACCAAGGTTTAGCTGGTGGCAATCCAGGTCCCATATCATGTTGCAAACAGGCTGCTTTTAGACCGGCTCAGCTTGCCCTTACCTTTTTTTTTTTTTTTTTTTAATAAGGTCATGGAAGCTGAAGGTTGAAAAAGCAAATGGAAAAAAACAAAACAAAACATTTTTTTAAACTTAGAGACAAGAAAAAAACCAAAGAACATGTTCTTAACAATAAGAGCTCAGTAATAATACTGAATAGAAATGCAACCGCGTGGCTCAGAGAGAAGCCCAGACAGACAGACAGACAGACAGACATCCAGGGGAGACATGTGTGTGCTGCTGTGTCTCTCCTGGGCCTCCTTTGCCTCCTCTGTGCTTTGGGGATGTAAGTGGGGAAGCCTGTAACACTAGGAAAAAATTATCTCCTTCGTATGCATATTTAAAATGTGTCTAAGTGCATAAATCATTTCTGAAAGAAACAATTCTCTCTAGAGATAGCTGTAGAGTTAATGTACAGTAAACCAACAAATAAATAAAACAATCTATACATTTGTTTGTGAAACGTTGCCCAAGACTTGGGGAATGGAAAAGGTGGGGGAGGAAAGAGGCCTGCTTTTTATTGTAGAGGCCAGCTACAAATAGAAAGGTCACGTGCAAATTTAACTCTTCTAATGAAGGTGATAATTAGTTCCAGACATACAGGTGGGCTAGGACATGAACTGTGTGATTTAAGAGGTTTATGAACCACTTCCCAACCAGAGAGTCAGGGCCCAAACACCCACAGGGGGGAAAGTTTCCCTTGATGAGAAGGGCTTGAGTCTGGGAGAGAAACAGGCATGAACTTGAGGGCTGGCTCCCTCACCTAATGTGGAGCTGCACAGCACTGAGCATGTCTGCCTCCGAGCCTGCTCCTCGAAAAGCAGGAAAATGATACCACTTTGTAGCTGTCAGGGGATTGGAAGCAGACAACAGAAGTCCTAGCTTTTATTTCTGCCTTTAAATGTTAGGTGCTGGCACTAGAGGTAATTCACACTCTCTGGCCATTATCAGTTGCCTCATCCGGGATCTGCCCCAACCTAGACACTGATATTAGTTGATTTTACAAACACATATAGCACTTGCTGCCTGCCAGGCACTCTTCTATGCCCCACATGCATTGTAACTCATTTAGTGCTCATCAGAATCCAAGTAGGTAGGTATTTCATTTTATTACCCCCATTTTACAGATGAGAAAACAGAGGCGCAGAGGCAGCAAGCAGTGACGCCAGGATTCCGACCCACGCACTGGGCACAGTGCTAACCCTCACCCCCTGCACAGCACTGCCTCCATGCAAAACTGGAAATATAGTTTGATGTCTTTAATACAGTTGGCCTTCTTTGGGGGAAGGAGAGGATATTCAAGTCAGAGACGCTAATGGGCCCCTTTCTCCCGTCCACAGGTCTGGGTCTGGGCATTAGAGAGGAACGAGCAAATTCACTTTCTTCTGCGCAGAAGCGAAGGAAAACTGCTCCCCTCAGCCTCAGCAGTTGCAGAAAATGCCCCCCAGGGCTTTGACTTTGACACACAGCAGCTCAGGCTCTGCGTCATCACATCTGTGCCTGTACGGCCTCAATGCAAATAGCAAAGATTAAATTATACTCGTGTTTCCTGCATTTGGTAAACATTTGCTTGGTGCCCCATGTGCTTGGGACTCTCAGAGTCCATGGGAGAACTGGGGTCTGCCTTCAGGAGGCCTAGAGTATTGTAACTGGAGACCACGGGGCCATACACAGGGAAATACCAACAGCAGGATAATAGATGTGAGGCCTTAAGTGAGTTGAGCTTAGAGATGTGATGCAGCCCAAGGCAGGCCAGTTCAAAGCTGAGTCTGACCACAGGAATGAATATGAGACCCGAACATCCTGGAAGACCTGACTTTCTTTACATAATAAAACTCATCTGATGTTCACATCCGACCCTGAAGTTCAGGCTCTGGAAGTATTAGACCAGAATCTTTCCCTCCTGGGATTAAACTGCTGACTGTCCTATTGTGAGTGATGGAGATCACCTCCTCCAGAAGCACTTCGAGAGCCCGGGCTAGCCCGCCTCTGATCCCCCAGGTCATCCTGGGCACATCTCCACCTGGGCCCCTTTGCCCATGCATTGCACCATCTGCTAAGTGTCTTCCCCTGCTCTGGGGTTTAGAGAGACTGAGTTAAACCAGGTGAGACGGGTTTCTGCTCAAAGACTTCCCTGAGCTCATGTGTTTTGTCAACATACAGCTTTCCTCAAACATATTGACCACAGATTCTCACGTGAGAACTGCCTTTTAACAACTCACGGGTCTAGAACTCCAAACAGCGTAGTTGTAGAAGCACTGGGCTGGCTGCAGAGGAGAGAGCAATCCTGAGACAAGGCTCTGCCCTCCAGGAGTTCAGTTTTTAGTGGGGAAGATAAAAGCCTAAGCCTAAGCAAAGAATTATAACTCAGTCCACTAAGTGCTAGATGACAGGCAGGCCCAAGGGATGAGGTAGTGGAAAGGTCTAGGAAAGAAAAAAACAAGAAAACGTCAGGGAAGCCTTCAAAGAGAAGCTGATGCAAGAACTGAGTTTCCAAAGATGAGTTGGCCTTTGTCTCTGTACCTTGGCTATTGCGAATAACGCTGCAATGAACAAAGAGATCGTATCTCTTTTCGAATCAGTGTTTTGGATTTCTTGGATGAATACCCTGAGTGGGATTGCTGGCTCCTATGACAGTTGTATTTTCAGTTTTTGGAGGCATCTCCATGTCGTTTTCCACAGTGGCTGCACCGATCTGCACTCCCCTCAACAGTGCACGAGGATTCCCCTTTCTCCGCATCCTCACCGGCACTCGTTTGCTCATTTATTGACGGTGGCCATTCTGGCAGGTGTGCGGGGAAATCTCACTGCGGTTTTGATTTGCATTTCTCTCATGATTAATGATGTTGAGCAATATTTCACATATCTGTTGACCGTCTGTGTGCCCTCTTTGGGGAAATACCCTTTCAAATGTTCCGCCCATTTGTTAAATCAGACTGTTTATTTTTGGGTGTTTGGTTGTAGGAGTTCTTTATATATTTTGATATTAATCTCTTATTGGATATATCATTGGCAAATATCATCTTCCATTCAGTAGGTTGTCTTTTCATTTTGTCGATGATTTCCTTTGCTGTGCAATTTTTTTAGTTTGATGTAGTCCAATTTCTTTATTTTTTCTTTTGCTTCCCTTGCCTGAAGAGACATATCCAAAAAAATGCCTGAAAGTGATGTGATATTGAATGTCAGCTGTAACTAAAAAACTTTTTAAAGAATTAATTACCTTGCAGCTGCGGATAGACCTTGAATAATCTAACATTGTTCTTTTGGTTTGCACTAGGATGGGGAAGAAAAAGACCCCTGCGCTTTCTGTCTTTGTGGCAGCCCAGATTCAATAGGGGGTACATCTGCAAAAAAGGAAAGGAAAAAAAAGAATTAATTACTTTTAAAGTCCCTAATAAGAAAATTGTGCTTAAACAATGTTAAAAAAAGAAAAGAAAGGGCATTCCAGCTGTGGGCACCCCTGCGCAAAGGCAGGGCACAAGGCGAGCAGAGCTGTTTGGGAGGTCGCCCCTGGCGGCCGATGAAGCCCAAGGTACCACTGGGGAAACAGCCGTCATTAAACAGAGAAGGAAGACGGCGAATCCGGAAGGAGACTGTGTGCCAGTGACCGTGTTCATGTTTTACCCGGGAGTAGGCAGTGAGAAGTCTTCGAGCCGTGAAGGAAGATCATCAGCTTCCCACTTTGGAAAGAAAGTTATAGAGAGGCCTGGGGGTGGTTTGGGGGCTTATAAAACTGGACACAAGTGACTGGCTGGCAAACTGCTGAAATAGCCAGAAACTGGCGGTGAACAAAGAGAAGTGTGACCAAGTGAACAAGTGATTGATGCAAAGTTGACTTCAGGGTGGGGGGAGGTGAGTCAAAGATGAGTCCCCCATTTCTGGCTTGGGCGCCAGGTGGCTGCTTGTATCATTATCAGAAAAAAATAAAATACAGGCAGAGGGGCAGAGCCCGTCTGGAGGAGAAGACAGTGGCTTCGATCTGGGGAATTATGAGGGTTCTAGGGTTTTTGTGGGATCTGCAGGTAGCACCACGGGGCTGGAGTTCAGGCTGGAGTTACCTTTTGGGGAGTTGTCTACCTCAAAATAGTTTCTCAAGCCGTGGGAGTGGATGAGATCACCCAACAAAGTGAAAAAGGAGAAGACGCAAGCCCAGTGCTGAACCCTGGAGAACACACGCCAGGGAGACGTGGAGAAAGGAGGGCCCAGCAGAGGGACGGGGCAAGGCCTCGTGGAAATGTGGCCTGGAACCCCATATCCATGAGCCATACTCACGAGACACTCCCGATCTCACGAGGAGCACGCGGACCCACAGAAGAGCCGTGTTGTGATCAGAACTCCGGGTCCCTGTGAGAAATGTGGCACTGACATCAGACCTGCCTGTACTGTGCATCTCCATCTTCCTATTTCTACCCCAGTCCTTCAAGTTTGCTGGTTGACTGCCCCCTTCCACCCCACCCCACCCCCAGTGTCACCCTCCCTGCCTTGGTCCCTGCTCTACTTCTATCCTTGCTACTCCAGCGGACCAGTGTTGGCTTCCAGCATCCGCCCTGGGCGGCTGGCCGCTTTGCGAAAAGGTGCCTGTACTCAGCTCCTTCTCTCAATTCCAGGGGACCAGGCCCTAAATGATCAGAAAACACATAAGGCTTGAGCCTTAGATTTCAAAGTTACCATCACAGAAGCCATTTTAGTCAAGACTGTGGGTGAGATGGTCAAGGTAGAGTTTGTAAAGAAGAGAAATGAGACAAAAAGAACTGTGAGCGATCATCTGTTTTCAGGGGACCAGGGGAGGAACAGGGCTAGTGAGGGAGGCTGAAAAGTAACATTCAAGAAAATGAGGGGGCGGGGAAACAAGAACGCAGTGATGTGGAAGCCACGGGAGGGAACAGGTAAATGAAGGAGGGGTGTTCGCAGCAGCGAATGCCGCAGAGTTGGCAGAAGGAGAATGGAGGAGAAGCCAACAGATTTGACGATGCCAAAGTCAGGCAACTTGCTGAAGAGTCATTTCAGTCCCTTAACGGTGGCAGAACGCAAACAGTTAAAAGTAAAGGGAGTGGAGGCAAAAGAAGGCTCTGTCCTGAAGTGTAATGGTGGAGAAAACACTTAATTCGTTCATTTAACATGCTTAATTCATAAGTATCTACTCTGTCCAAACCACTAAAATGATTAAAAAAAAGTTTTTTTTAAGTGTCTGAAGCTGCTCCCCACACCAAGAAACCTGCAATAGATCTGGGAACATAAGTGAAAATCAGTACAAGACACTGGAATCGTTTGCCATTTTCCGCTCTCAGCCCTCTTCTTGCTCCGCTTGCATCCCTTTGTACCTCCATCCACACCCACAGTGCCCAACACCCTCCGTGAGCTGTGGCCAGTGTAGCTCAGTTCACCGGGCACCATCCTGCAGACGGACAGTCACGGGTTTGAGTCCCGGTCAGAGCACGCACCTGGGTCGTGGGTTCAGTCCCTGTCAGGGCACAAGCAGGAGGCAACCAGTCAATGTTTTCCTCTCGCATCGATGTTTCTCTTCCCGTCTATCTCCCTCTCCTCCCCTCTCTCTGGAATCAGTAAAAGAAAGATATATATGTGTATATAATTTTTTAAGACCACCTGTGACACAAGCCCTCCCCACTCTGCTTTAGCTCCCAGCCTTAGCTGTGTCTTAGGTCCAGGCTGGCCCTCCCTTCTCCAGATCCACGCTTCTGCCTGCAAATGGAGGTCTTCTGTCTCTGCTAGTATTCTTCTACCCCCTGTCCCCCCGATCGGGTGACTGGGCTGCTGACCCTTAGTGCTGGTGTGCCAGACACCGAAAGTTCCATCTGGGGCTGCTTTATCTAAAATGCTTATCTTAGCTCCAGGACTTGGAGGCAGTGGTTTTAGGCCTGGCTCCTGGTTTATCTTCTAGAAAGGAGAAAGGAAAGGTCTTGTATTTATAAAGAACCCGTATCTCGAACTCACTTTCTCTTTCTGTTTTTTTCTGTGCCCCATTTCTAAGTAAGGCTCTTTCACCGGGAGGCCGGCTCATTCTTTCTTTCCTGGCCATAGGCCTGGGTGAACTTGAGGACCCAGAAGAGGACCCAGAAGGGGTATTGTGGGGGGCTGTCCTTTGGTCTCTGCCCCTAGATGCAGGGAGCGCCTTCCTTCCCAGCTGTAACCGAAATGTCTCCAGACATGGCCAGTGTCCCTTGACTGAGAACTACGTCCTCAGTGCTCTCACTGCTGGCTCCCTCTCCTGCACAGAAGTGTGTGCAGTTGCCCTGACTAATTTTTCATCCCGGTCCAATGGCACCCCTGGGTCAGCAGGACTGGGAAGGGAAAGCCCTTGGCCTTGTCTTCGTCATCCTCTCCCCTACAGACTGCTCCTTCGTCTTCCCTTTATGCAACACTGAACTCTCCAGCGCAGACCTCCGGTTCCGAGTTGATAATCCCATCACGACTAATCCTGTTTACAGCCATTCTCTTGGCAGAACAATCTTGTCCTGACCGAGGGTTCTTGCTGCCCCATTGTTCCTGGGGACGATGGCCTGGCCCAGTGCAAGCTCTCATCGATAGGGCTTATCCTGTTTACCGGAGCCTGCAGAAGGGCCTCATCAAATACTCCCATCCCTTCCTTCGGTAAATGGCTCGCTTTGATCTGTGCAAGGCAAAGCAGTGTTTATCAGAAACTGGGCTTCCTTTAGCTAATGATGGGCACGTCCTGTCCCAGAAAGCTCCCCAAAATAACACTTTCTGAATTTCAGACTATTTTCAGGTTTATGTGTCTTTGTAAGCATTTCTTGCTGGGTATCTTTAAGGCAAGCGAAGAAAGGGGCTGATTTTGGTTTCTGAAGTTCAACGTAACACAAAGCTGAATGGTTTTCTATAGGTCACTGCCAAACAGAAGTAAAGAACAGGACTGATGATAACATAAACACTTGGAACCAGGACAAAATGCATGATTAGGGCTGGCCAGGTGAGATCCCTTTTCACATTGTCAACTCAAAACTCCCAGGTTGTTTACCGAGGTGAACAAAAGGTCACGGGTGTCAGTCATCTGAATCACAGGGCAGTGGAAGCTAGTTCAATCCTGTGGATGAATGTCAGTGGAATTTTACACTTTCTTGGCTTTTAAGAAATCACCAGGTCCAGAGAGATCTTCCGTCTACAGCAGTGGTTCTCAAAGGATGGTTCCCGAATCCAGCAGCATCACCAGGGAACCCGCGGCCAACGTCAGTTCTCAGGCCCCACCCCACATACTGAGTTGGCATCTCTGGAGGTGGGGCCGGCAATCAGTGTGCCAAAAAGCCCTCTGGCTGACTCGGAGGCTTGCTGGAGTTAGAGAACCACCAACCCACGTCAACACCCTCCAGCTGCAGGGCACGCAGAGAAACTCTTAGGAAGCTGATTAAAATGCAAGTGTCCCTAAAGACATGGGACACAGATCCCTCGGTCTAGGGTGGGCCTGGGCGTCTGTCTGGCTTTCTGTGTTTTTATTTGTTTTATTAAAATATCGTTGACAGTTGACAACAACATTGTATTAGTTTCAGGTGTACGACATAATGATTCTGCGTTTGTATACCTTTCAATGTGGTCTCCGCAAGTTTGGTCACTATCTGGTACCATGCAAAGTTATCATGAAATCACTGCCTGCGTCCCTCAGCTGCACATTTCATCCCTGTAACTCACTGACTTCAAAACTGCAAGTCTGCGCCTCTCAATTGCCTTCACCTTTCCACCCCCTGCCCCTCTGGCAACCGCCAGTTTATTCTTTGTTTCTGTTTCTCCTTTGTTTGTTTGTATTGTTTTTTGAGATTCCACATATAAAGGAAATCACATGGTATTTGTCTCTCTGTGACTTATTTCACTTAGCGTAATACCCTCTAGGCCCATCCGTATTTTAACAAATGGCAAGACTTCACTTACTTTTATTGCTGAGTAATATTCCATTATGTATATGTGAGTGTACCGCCCCTCTTCATCCTCTCGTCACTGGGCCCCGAGGTTGCTTCCAGATCTTGACTATTACAAATAGTCGAGAACTCTTGTGAGTGAACACTTAGTGAACTGTGTGCTCCCGAGCTGTGAGTGAGTGAACATAAAGGTGCTTCCGTTCTTTTGAATTAGGGTTTATGTTTTCTTTGGATAAATGCCCAAGAGTGGAATCGCTGGGTCATGTGGTAGTTCTGTTTTTAACTTTTTGAGGAACCTCCATACCTCCTTACATAGTGGCTGCACCAATTTCCAGTCTCATCAGCAGCACATAAGGGTTGCCGTGACTTCACATCATCACCAACACTTGTTACTTGTTGACTTTCTGATGGCAGCCACTCTGACAGGTGTGAGTTGACACCTCATTGTGGTTCTGATGTCCAT